ATGATAAGTTGTGTATATCAATCACCAGATTAAAATATGGAGCTATTTACTGATCAAATCATGGAGCTCTTTGAAAAGAGTGCTAACAAAACAATGTGTGGAGATTTCAATATTGATCTGGGAAATACAACAGATACAAATAATATTGGTATATTCCTAAATTCAAAGCACAGTTTAAATCTCTATCCATTGATATCAAAACCTAGAAGAATCACTACTCATAGTGCCACAATAATCGGTAATATTTTCACAATCATAACAAAAAGAGAAATAATGAGTTGTATTTTAATTACTGGTGTAAGTGATCACCTACCAGTTTTCATAATTTATAAAAATGATCAATACAACACAAAAGTAGATACAATTCAGAAAAAAAGAATTGACACATCAAAAAACGCTATGGATAATTTAAAGGATGATTTGGGAGAACAAAACTGGAAAGATGTGTATGTTAGCGATGTGAACAAAGCATATGATGCTTTCATGCATATATTAGGATGTTTGTATGAAAAAAATTGTGTGGAAAAAAATTACACAAAGCAAGATTTTGACAAACCATGGATGACCAAAGGGCTGAAACATGCTTGTAAAAAAAAAGAAATACTTGTACTAGTGCTTCTCGTGACTAACAACAAAAGAATCAGAAGAGAGGTATAAGAAATATAAAAACAAGTTAGTTTGGATTGTACGAAAGCACAAAAAGGACTATTATAGTAAGTTATTAGACAAAAATAATGGTAATACAAGAGCAACATGGCAAATAATGAATAGCGTTTTGAAAAATTATGAAGTAAAATCAGGTACTCCACAGTGTTTTGTAAAAGATGGAATTGAAATTCATGATCAAAATGAAATTGCAAATGGATTCAATCATTATTTTGTGAATGTTGGCCCAAGTCTTACATCTAAAATACCAAAAGTAGATAGAAATGTTAACCACACTGTACAGGTTGTGCAAATAGTTTATTTCTTTATGAAATTGACAAAGAAGCAATAACGAATATTGTTAAAAATCTTGCAGACAAGAGATCAAAAGACTGGGTTGACATGGACATGATGTTTGTGAAAGACATAATGAATTATGTGATTGAACCGTTTACTTACATCTGTAATTTATCATTTTCAACTGGTATATTTCCAAACAACATGAAAATAGCAAAGGTAATTCCTCTTTTTAAAAATGGTGAAAAACGTGTGTTTCACAACTACAGACCAATATCCCTGTTACCACAATTTTCAAAGATTTTGGAAAAATTATTTGTGATTAGATTGGACAAATTCATTGATAGGCAGAATATATTAAGGAACAGTCAGTATGGGTTTAGACCAAATAATTCTACATCAATGACTCATCGAATTAATAGAACATATAACAACTGCTGTTGATCAAAAACAGTACTGTGTTGGTATTTTTGTTGACTTAAAAAAGCATGTTATACTATTAATCACAGTATTCTTTTTGAAAAGTTAAATGAATTTGGTATTAGAGGACCTGCATTGCAGTGGATATCTAGTTATTTGGAAGATGGAAAATAATTTGTAGAAATAAATAATGTAAGATCTGAGTTTTGTAACAACTCATGTGGAGTGCCGCAGGGTTCCATTCTCGGACCGAAGTTATTTATTTTGTATGTGAACGATTTGGTAAATGTATCAGGACTTTTTGGGTGTGTTCTATTTGCTGATGATATAACATTCTTTTGTTCCGGTAAAGATATAAAACAAATGTTGGAGATGGTACAGACAGAATTTGTGAAAATACAAAGTTGGTTTCAACTAAATAAATTATCATTAAACTTGGACAAGACAAATTATATGATTTTCTGTAACAATAAGCGAACTATAGATGTTTCATTTAAAATTGATGATTTTGAGATCTGTAGAGTCAGTCAAGTGAAGTTTCCAGGTGTCATTATTGATGAAAAACTGACATGGAAAAATCATTTAAATGTTTTAAGAACAAAAATAGCCAAATCAATTGGTGTCCTGTACAAAGTAAGAGAACTGTTCAATGATAACGCACTATTTATGTTGTATAATGCTATAATTGTTCCACATTTAATTTACTGTATTGATGTGGGGTAAAGCTTGTAAAACTATCACAATCCTATTTTTATTTAACAGAAAAGAGCTCTAAGAATTATTACTAGAAAAAAATAGTCATCCATCGAATGTATTGTTTTATGA